CAGATGTACCCATAAACCAATTTTTGACAGGAAACAGAAGCATGGTGTAGAAGCTATTTTTTTTAAATCACCTTTGACCAAAAAAGCACATTTGTGTGCATATTCAAAACTACATTGTCCATGAAAAAAAATACTAACAACATTTTAAAATGCATACATAAGCTTTCCGAAAATATATAGTTTTGTGGACAAGGGAGGTCATCTTGGTTTCCTAATTAACTAATTAAAATACTTGTCAGGTAAACTGCATCTCTACATTAAGGTTGTTTTCGTCGCCCTGGGTGGAGATCATAAATGGCATTGTATGTTATTGTAGTTATAATATTAATGGGAGGAGAAATGTAAACGTACATTTACATTGTTAATTCAATCTGTTAATGAAACGGTCATACACTTAAAGTTGAATAAATAAGTAACTAAATAACTAGATCAATAACTAAATAAAGTAAGTAAGTAAATAAAATAAATAAATGAATAAATAAATAAATAAATAAATTTAAAAATAAATAAATAATGATAATCTTTCATGACTGGCATTCATGATTGTATACGTAAAAATCGTTATTAATTATCATCTGAATAGCACGGCTTTGCTTACTGTTACCAATCCTGCCATCCCTCAATGTCTATGTCTGATAACGATGTGCGCAATGTAATATAATGATAAATGGTTCTGAAATTGAGTACAGCGAAAGGCCTTAAGTTAAAGGCATGCCATTGTATGTCAGTCATTCCTACTTATGTATGGCGACATATGGTAGTATTGTTAAACGCTGTAATAGACAGTTGACATGAAATATGGTATTTAAGCATTGTTATAAAACAATTTTGATTAAATTTGCAATTTAAATTCAACAGCACGATCTAACAAATATGCACAGTTTCGTGTAAACATCAGGTTGATGGGTAAATAAGCACCCAAAAGTTGTTTTACTAGTGGATTACTAAACCCATAAAAAAAATAAACATCACTTTATTTATAAATATTTTTTTTTCATTTTACTGACTTATTAACCTCACATATTTAATGTGATCTCCGCGACAACCTCACGTATTGACGTATTTTTTAAGCAGCGCCACCTACGCTGAAGGCCATTGAAAGATAGAAGGTAGACTGGCTAGCACTTAGAACTGACAATCATAGAGTCTGAGCTCGAATCCTAGTTTATACCGTGGTGCTGTATTTTTACTGAGTTTCGCAAACGGGGAATAAATAAGAATCTGGCATGGAATAATTGTATATGGCACTCAGGAAGATGAGATCATGGCTAAATAAATTTGATAAGGGTAACTCTGTGTATGCATCATTAACGAATAACAGCCGATACATATTTACTCACTAATTATATTAGTTCACTGTTGGTCTGGGATAATTTAAGCTTTACGCTATTTGATTTGCTTAAATATTATTTTTCTCGGAAAATACAAACCATAGTTTTCTCTGTAGGAGGGCAACTGCATATTATACAATTTCTGATTTGATCTGGTCGTTCCTGAAATAGATATAAATATGCCACAGGTTAGAAATCGCACCAAAGCGGATTGAGGGCGCATATCGGATCACAACTGAGTCGTGCTATTTGCGGTCATTCCATCACTTTGTATTTGCTTTTTTATAGTTTTATTTTCGCTAAACAATGAAACGTGTAAGCAAGTCTAAACTTGTACTGAAATAGATTTAATGCAAACGATGTAACACGAATACCTTGCCCTATGTCATATGAGTATGCAAATGATCGCATTTGCCGCTTACATAGGAGACCTCTCCTTTGTATATCACTACATAGATGCAAATTAAGGGGTATCAAAATATACTATAGTGTTGTTTATAAATAACACTCATATGAGAGTAAATAAACTAAAGGTTTTGTAGAGCATTTTAAATATTTATGATATCGTAATAATTTTTACGAGATCTCGCGCCACGTCTGCCGCAATACTTTGACAAAAGGTGACCCCTTTTAATAAAAAGTTATGTCTAATGAAATTATTTTTTTAGCCAAGTTCACGGTCTTAACCACCAATTCATTCAAGTTGACACAATGGATCTGAAAAATCGTTGAAAAAGCTTTATTCAAGCATTGAAAACCGAAGCATCGACAATCTTACACGAAAAACCATATTTATAGACAATTGCAAATTCACCGTTCACACCCTGTCGTTACACTATAGTTAGTTGACTTAAAATCGGACAGATTTATCGATCCTGTATGATCAATTAATTTGAATGTGTTTTTCAGGATAGGTCTACAACTGAACTTCGTCAGGTCAAAGATCCATCTGATCAAACATCACTGATGAGCAAACATGAGCGTTTGATGGAGCTATTATGTTTCGAAGCTATCATTGTTATTTCATTGGTTAGCTGTAGTTCACTGCAATGCCAGCTTGAGTCGATTGTTGTTCGCTATACTACCAGCATACGAATCGACTGAAGCCTGCTGCACTGCTAGTTCCAGTACCTGCATGAGTTCACTGTGGTTCGCTGCAATACCAGCATGCGTTGACTGTGGCTCGCTGCAATACCAGCATGTGTTCACTGTGGCTCGCTGCAATGCCAGCATGAGTTGACTGTGGTTCGCTGCAATGTCAGCTTGTGTTGACTGTGGTTCGCTGCAATGCCAGCATGTGTTTACTGTGGTTCGCTGCAATGCCAGCATGTGTTGACTGTGGTTCGCTGCAATACCAGCATGCGTTGACTGTGGCTCGCTGCAATACCAGCATGCGTTGACTGTGGCTCGCTGCAATGCCACCATGCGTTGACTGTGGCTCGCTGCAATACCAGCATGCGTTGACTGTGGCTCGCTGCAATACCAGCATGTGTTCACTGTGGTTCGCTGCAATGCCATCATGTGTTGACTGTGGTTCGCTGCAATGCCAGCATGTGTTGACTGTGGTTCGCTGCAATGCTAGCATGTGTTGACTGTGGTTCGCTGCAATGCCAGCATGAGTTGACTGTGGTTCGCTGCAATGCTAGCATGTGTTGACTGTGGTTCGCTG